GATGAGGAATGGTTGAGGCAGCTGGGTATGTTTAGTCTGGAGAGGAGGAGATAGAAAGGAGAGCCATCTTCCAATATCTGAACACTGCAAAGAGGCAGCTAGCTTGTTTTCTGCTGCTCCAGAGGGGAGGGCAGGAGAGGAGATTCGGACTAAACATTAGGAAGAAACTTTCTGATGGTAAGACTCTGGGACGGTGGTGGACTCTCCTTCCTTGGCTTTTAAGCAGAGGTTGGATGCCAATCTGTGAGGGATTCAGCTGCAATTTGGAGAGCGCATAGCACTGGCCTACTTTACAGGGTTGTTGTAACCACACAAGGCTGCTGAGCATCCGAAAGTGCCTGACAAATGTTGAGCCTTCCATTTCACTGTGGGGAACAGCTGCAGCGCATCCAGAGGGCGTCCCTCAACTTCCATGTCTACTCCTCTCCTGCAGCCAAAGGGGCTGGGGCTGGATTACCAAATAGGCAGAGTAGGCACTGGCCTATGGGCCCCACACTTTTTAGGGGTCCCGCAACAATGGATAAAATAATATTGATTTGATCTTGAAAGAAAACAACAATCAAGCTTTCTTAGTTAAAGGTTATCCCAGCATGTGCACAAGGCCTGTCCCCCGCCCAGATTTTGAACTGCCAAGGGGCCTCCACAGAGTTTAAATCCAGCACTGCCCCCATGAACGGCCCAGTATACCTGAAGGAGCGTCCTCCACCCCATTGTTTTGCCCAGACACTGAGGTCCAGCTCCAAGGGCCTTTTGGTGGTTCCCTCACTACACAGAAGTGAGATTACAGGGGAACCAGGCAGAAGGCTTCTCGGTGGTGGCACCCACCCTTTGGAACGCCTCGCCATCCAGATGTCCAAGGAAATAACAACTATCTGACTTTTAGAAGACATCTGAAGGTGCATTGTTGGGTGTATAAATCAGTGTTTCCCACCTTTTTTGGGCAAAGGCACACTTGTTTCATGAAAAAATCTCGAGCACACCACCATTACAGCCCCCGTTGAACGTCAGCGTGCAGCGTCACACCGGGAGGGACGCACGAAAGTGTAAGTTCAATTTTTTTCCCCTCCCCCTTGCCTTCCTTCTGTGCAACCGCCAAAAGCCAAGAAAAATAGCCAAGACTTTAGGCCAGCAGGTCGATCACGGAAGAAGCTTCCTACCTAAGGACAGTGCGACGGCCCTGTCCTCTTCTGCCACACTTGGCACCCCTGCCTCACGGTCGTGACTCCCACCTCTGATTCTCCCCCGCAGGTCGAGCGGCACAGGCAGCCCAATGTGTCCAGCCAGACACAAGCCCCGCTTCCCCACTCTAGATCCTGAATGCGACCAAGTGCTCTGGACTCCGAAGCAGGGTGGGAAAGAGGACTCGCATCTGGTAGCCCCCGGGCTCCTCGCCTGCTCGAGGGATGGCATTGCAGGCAAGCTGCCGGCCGTCGCCATCGCCGCCCCCTCATGCGAGTGGACCTGCCCGGAGTGGTGGGCCGGGGGAGGCTCGCTCTCTGTGGGGATGTGGCCCGCACGCGCGGCCCCGCTTCCTCCTGCCCAGGGCTGAGCTCCTTACCCGCGATCTCGGTCTCGCGCACGCGGATCCCACTTATTCTGAAGCTCGCGCCACTAGCCGGGGCTCTCACACCGTGCCAGGGCGAGGCAGCGCGGCCCACTGACGTCATCACGGCTCGCCGCCGCCCTCGACTTCCCTGTTCCCTCCCCTCCCTCGGGTCGCCGTGGTTACCGAGGACTGCAAGTTGCTCGGGCGAGCGTGGGGCATTAAGTGGGAGAAGGAAAATTAAAATTAAAACTCGCCTGAAGGCCGCCTCTCCGGATATCTTTCGAATTTTTTAATTTTCCCCGCGGCACACCAGGCAACGTCTCGCGGCACACTAGTGTGCCGCGGAACACCGGTTGGGAAACACTGGTATAAATGATGTTTGTTATATGATTATTGTTTCTTATATTGTTTGTTTTTTTTCTATTGCTTGTATGCTTGTTTGTATGTTTTTTGTTTTTTCTTTCTATAAATGTATTTATTTTAAAACAATAAAGACATAATATCTAAACAACTATCTGACTTTTAGAAGACACCTGAATGCAGCCCTGTTTAGGGAAGTTTTCAATGTTTGGTGTTTTATCACTTTAATAATAATCTGTTGGGAGCTGCCCAGAGTGGCTGGGGAAACCCAGCCAGATGGGCAGGGTATAAATGCTTAATAATAATAATAATAATAATAATAATAATAATAATAATAATTTTATTACATTTTCAGGGGTTTTTTTGCTGCCTACTTGGGACTTAAAAAGATAAGAGGCCTATTTACTGCATATGACAGGTGGGCTATATTCAATATGGTGGATCATAGATTGTGCAAGCCTGTCCTAAGTCTTCAGCACACCCACTGGACTTAAACAATTATATATATGCATATGTATATGTCTGTCTCTCTCTCTCTGTGTGTGTATATGTATATGTATATATGTATATGTCCAGTAGCACCTTAGAGACCAACTAAGTTTGTTCTTGGTATAAGCTTTCGACCAACACGCTACCTACCACTGGACTTAAGTACACCCTTCACACTCATGGATTTTCCCAGTTACAAGGTCCTGTTACCTTTATCTACAATCTTGTAGGATAGATCGTGTCTGAAGGCAACCTCTGGTATAGCAGGAGAGGGAAGTTTCTTTGTTTAATGTTAATGTTTTGTTATGATTTTTATAGCGTCGTTGGGAAGCTGCCCAGAGCAGCGTGGAGCACCCAGTCAGAATGAGGTGGTGCTTATAAAATATCAATTAATAATAATGATAATAATATATAATTAATAGAATAGACCGTCCGCTATTGCAGAGACAAATATTTGGAGAGCTATTGGTGTACCTACTCCCTTGCCTTAAAGACACGGTGAAATGATGGTGTGGGGGGGCGCCTATAAAGTATAAATTGCTTAATTTATTATTATTATTATTATTATTATGTATTATTATATTATTATGGTTTCCCTCCAGGAGAATTCTGGGTACTGGGGGTAAAGTTTGTTTCAGGACTGCTGGGAATTTATAACTCTGTGAGGGTCAAACTAACGTCTAGGGTCCAGATTCATTGGAGGGATCAAGAATGGGCTTACATGAATGCGCTGCATATATCCAGCACATGACGTCCGCCGATCAGCGAATCCTTGGAATTGTGAAGGTGCTGGGAATTGTAGCTGCTGGGGCTAGGGATAGTACTTACAGGTTTCCCAGGTCTTTGTGGGGGAAGCAGTTGGTGATTTAAATGTACGGCATGCAGTGTGTCCCCCCGTAAAAAACAACATTAGGGGTCAGCTCTCATTTTCTCCTACTCATATTGAATGTTGTTTGTTTTCAGGCCTCTCGTTTAGTTCGGTGTCCTGACTCTTCGTAGACCACCCGCACATGGGTGATCCAGGAGCACGGCCAGGCACGCCTGGTGCCTTCACTGCCTCCCAGGCAGTTTGGTCAAACAATATTCGTAGCTTTGAGAACACTATTCAACCATCTCGGGTCCTCTGTCGTCCTTCTCCTTGTGCCCTCCAGTCTTTCCAACATCAGGGCTTTGTTCCAGGGGAAGTCTTCTCTTCTCATGAGGGTGGCCAAAGTACTTCGATGAGACAATCAGCTGTCCGGATCTGTTCCTTCCAGTGAGGGCAACTTCAGGGCTGATTTCCGCTAAAGGATGGATACGTTTGATCGGTTCTTGGCAGGGTCCATGGGACTTCCTCAGAGTCTCACTCGCGCTGAAGACACCATAATTTCAAAAGGCATCAAGTTCTTCGGCGATCAGGTGTCCTTCTTTATGGGTCCAGCCTCTCCACTTCATACATGCACCACTAAGGGTAAAAACCATTCGACTTTAGCTCTATCGGACCTTGGTGTTGGCAAGGTGATCGTTACTGCTTTTTAAGATGCTGTCCTAGGCTTTAGCTCAGGCCTTCGCGAAAGGCGGAAGAGCGAAGCGAGGGCGTCCTGTTAATTTCGGTGGTGCTGTGGTCCATCCTGCAGTGATCATGGAGCCCAAGAAAGTAAAATGCTTCACTTTCCTCCATTTCTCCCTGCTATTGTGACCAGGAGGGTGATCGGGACCCCGGCAGTGGGCGCATCGATCTTCGGGTTTTTTTTTATGTTTGAGCGTTCAGACATAATTTTGGCGCTCCTCCTCTTTCACCTCATTAAAAGGTTCTTTAATATCACTCCTCACTTTCTGCATCAAGGTTGATGTATCTGCATATACTGGAGGTTGTTGATATTTCTTCTTCCGGCAATCTTAAAATTCCGCTTAGGGATCAGTCCAGCCCAGCCTTTCGCATGAATGAATTCTGGCATATAAGTTATAATAAGCAGGGAGACTAAATCCCAAGATGGCAGTGGCCAAAGGGAATATGGGGCTCCAATACCCACGGGCACAATTGGCACTCATTTCACAACGCTAGCAAGGTTATGCTTAAAACTTCTAAACAAGGCAGGCTTAAGCAGTATGTGGACACGGAGACTCCCAGAAGTGGCTAAAGCTGTGGATTCGAAGGGGCAGAGGGAACCAGAGACGCGAAATTGGCAAAAACTGTCGGCCCTGGGGAAATTTTTTGTATGGGGGAGAAAGCTTAGGAGAGTTTCCAGGAGAAACATCTACTTTGCTTCATTGACGTATGCAAAAGCCTTTGCTGGTGTTGGGACCAACAAAGGGGCAAACTATGGCAAGTTTTCTTAAAGGAAATGGAGTGGCACTGATTCAGCCTCATCTGTCTTCCTGAGAAACTCTATGTGGGACAAGAACTACATGTTAGAGACTGATATGGAAAACTAAGATATGTGGGTTCAAATATGGGAAAGGAGTACGGCAAGGCTGTATATTGTCTCCCTGCATATTGGAAATACTGGCGTCCGCTCAATGCGGCACAGTCACAAAATGGTCATTAGGGTATCGTATCCTGGCATACCCCCCAGTAAAAAAGGCACTGGCGTGTTCCTCCAGCTGGCTTCCTACCAATACAGTTTTATGCTATATCTGCAGTCCAGGGATAGAGGCATAGAAATTAGAAGCCATGGGCAAATTGCTGCATCTATGAAAGCCATGAGCAATACGGGTTGGGCGCTGTTTTTGTTCTTTTCTGGCTTGATTTAGGGGAGAGCTTCCAGCTAGCAAGGCGCATATTTGTTTTGGCTGGATTTTTATTCCATTTATGTTTATTCTCTATCTTCATAAGGTGGGGCTAACCATTTCGGGATGGAAACAGGGAGTAAGCTTTTGGGCACATCCTACTGGCTTGGGTTGCAAAGCGTTTCTTGGAACAGCCTTCCTGCCAAGATCATGCAAAGGAGACCTAGAACTATTGGCAAGGCAAACAGGAGGAGGTCTCAGAATGTGAAAGCAAAACTCTTGCTTATGTGCGTTTTTGGCTTGATTTTGGGGGTCTCTGGTGAGTAACACTCTCCGGGCCAGACCCTCATGAAATGGTAATTTTTGAGGCCTATGTGATATGCAAATTGGAATCAAATATAACTTTGGAGTGTGTAAAAACTCTGTAATGGTAGGTTCCATATACGGAAGAAAGCTGGGATAATAAGAAATAATATTAAACACAAGAGGGAGTTATTCAAAGTTGGTGATTCTGCCTTCTGGCGCATTAGTTAAAAAAAAGCCACGATTTGGTGGTATGTATCAGGGCTTTTTCAAGGCCAGAATTTGCTGGAACTCATTTCTGCCCCCTCCAGGTGGGGTACTATTGCCCTTCTAGGAGCAATGAGGAGTGTGTTCAGGTTGAGTTTAAATCTTACTCAGTATTAAATCCTACTAGAACCGATTCCAACGTATAGTTAGCTAGAGGTAAACTAAACACTTTGGCAGGATTCCCAAAAAATAGACCAGAGGCAATTGTATTTCATCCAGCAGAGCTTTACTGCTACTGAAGGCAAATGAGCATAATGGTCACAGATCCAATACATTCAGGATTGGCAGAGTCCATAAAAATCCAGTTGCAGCAGACTTAACTTAAACTTACAATAACTTATAATATAAGTCTAAAAACCTTAACACTAAGTGTTATGTACTGAGTTGAATAGGGATCCAAAATGCAGCTTCCAGAACCCTCTGGAACTAAATAGGTAATAGGGAAAGATCTCTACACATCAGATCAGTACTTTCATGCACTAAGAAATGCAACTGACTTTTTCGAGAAGAATAGCGCTGTGTATGTTAGAAATTTCTTTTCGCTGAAAACCAGCATAACAACCATCTCTGGGAAGTAAGGATAATACTATTTATGTGGGGTTTTGCATTATTTCTTCACATTTAACATTTTCCATCATGGAACTCACGGGCAATATGTGGTTCTCGATGGTCTCCAATCTAACAGCTGACCAGACCTGGACCCATTTTAGCTTGAGCAAGCCTTGTGTACCTACAAGACCATGCGCTGAGACCAGGTGCCATCCTGGCAGCTGAGAAGTCCTGGTGAATCACATGTGCGTAAAAAGGCAAAGTCGTAACATACCAGCTGCTATGCGGCGCTTCTCCATCATCTGTAGCTTGCGTTTGGGGAAACACAGTTGTTTTGAGATCCACTTGTGGTAAGATGGACAGGTGCTGAGATCCACCAGTCGCAAAACCTCGCACACACCCTGATGAAACGACAGAAAAAACTACGGCTGAGTTGATCATAGCTATGCACATCTTCCCAAGATTAGAACACAGAGGAGGGCAGGGGAGGGAAAGGAATTGACCTGATGTATAAACCTTGGCAGTTTATAGGAAGTTTCCCGAGGAATAGTCAAACCTCGGTTGTCGAACGTACCGGTAGTCCATTCCAGAAGCTTGTTTGGCTTCCGAAACATTCGACAACCGAGGCGTGACTTCTGATTGGTTGCAGGAGCTTTCTGCACTCAGGAGGAAACTGTGTGGATGTTCAGCTCCTGAAATGTTTCAAAAACCGGGGAACACAGTTTCCCTTTCCTGGGGTTGGTTGGATGTTCGGTGAGGGCTGAATCGTTGAAAAACAGGAGGCCGTCCGATCGAAGGATTGATGGACGTTATTGGGAGGCTAGGCCGGACCTAACCGGAGAAGGTGGGCGACCAGAAGGAGGAGGAGTACCATCCCAGGAAGAACTGGAGGAAATTTAAAGACTATTTAGCTAAAGTGCTTGATTAAACCTTGAAATAAGAAATACTTGCAAATACCAGATTGGCTTAGGATTTTAAATATGTGATTTTATTATAATAATATGATTAAGTTATATATGAAAGTAGAAAGAAGTTACGGTAATTTGATTAAGTAAATTTTATGAGAAATTAGTTTTGGAAAACTGTTACAATGATATACATTGAAATTCAGGCTGGGGGGATTGAGGAAGTTAACCTAACAATGTTAATAAATAGTGGAATATTTACAGTTAGGGATTTATGTTTTGTTTGTCTGTTTATAAATTTGGAAGATCAATTGAAAAAAATTGAAAAAGACAAATACAGAGCCGTCAGGAGCCAAGGTTTGACTGTACTGCCATCTACAGTGTCTTCTTAAGAAGATAATTTACGGTACATTTTTTGGCAGGGGGGAGTTGCCTAATTAATCATGGGGCGCTAGATTAAAAGGATATTGAATTGATTACTCCGATGAACTAAATTAGAAGCTGAAACCTTAGTTCTAACCCTACCAGGGCATCATGCTAAACTCTTTCCCTTTGTCCAGCATCAATTCCACTCAAGGCTGGCCCTAGTATGAGACAGAACGAAGTGGCCTATTCTTGGATATTCATCAACGGACAGCAATTTGGTTGTTCTTGCGACACAGAGAGGCTACTTGTGAGATTTGTCTGCCCTCATGGTGCCAAAATACCAGGTGTTTGAAACTCCTATTGTTCCAGGCGCATTTTGCAAGACGGAATTTCATAGCACGAGCATTTTCTGAGCTCTGGGCGCAGGGACTGTGCCTAAGATTTCAGATTAAACTGTGGAGCGGAAGGAAAGGAGGACCCTTTTCTGCCTCCCCACTTCCAGCTACTCTCTGAAGACTGGAGAAGAGACCCTCTTAAGGTATATTTAGACGGGTGGGCAGGGGGAAGGACAGACTATGTGAAAAATGAACATAATATTTTTAGCGCAGTTCATTCAGCTTCAGCTTTGTATTCTTTGTTATATTTCTTAATGTATTCTTGCCCTACTTGGCCATATAATTACTTTAATAGTGGCTGAATTTTTGAGTGCTGTCCAATGTTAGGAAAGACTGGGGCCGTTATAAAAGAGATTTAATGGTTCTTAATTGGATCAGTGATGTGGTAGTGTTATATTGTATTATTTATGCAAATTGATTTTCTCTGGAGTTTAAAAGATCTGACAGGGACAAACCTTGTTATGCCGAATTCGTATTTTGCACAATTTGTATACGGTGTTTGTTTGATAATGTGTGGTTTTGCTATGACTAATAAAGGATTGACTTTTTTAATTTGAACTGAGGTTTGGTGGGAACCTCAAGGTTTGTGACTTGGGGAGGTGGGTCCAGGAGTGTTCTGAGGGGTCACGGAGGATGAGGGGAGCTGCGCGCGGGGCATGCAAAGGGCGCCCTCTTTTTGATGTGAAGAGTGGTCATTATGAGGGGGGCCGCTAGGGGCGCCTTGGAAGATGGGCCGACAATACCATCTCTCCAGCTCGCACGAGGTAATTAAGGGGGCTGATGATGGGAGTAAATCAGCCTCCCAAATTCTTCCTGGTGGGAAGGGAAGATGCAGCCTCATCCGCGGTTGCCCATAAATCACCCCCGAGTTCGAAAGAAGGAGGGTGTGAGGGCACTGGACGGAAAGCCCTCAAGTGAGTTCGGATCTTCCCGGACGTTGTTTCTGAGAGTGACTCTAGTTGCATTACTTAAGATAAAAAATTGGATCTAAAAGTTATTGCACATGCTTCAAGCGAAGAAAAGCGTATGTTAGCTGCTAATTAAGCCTGCCACTGAGAAGTTAAGAGTGATGGAATGGACTGGACAGAAGATAACATCAAAGAGTAACATCTATGCCGGTATGTTGAAACGGAACGGAAAGGAGGGGAGGACTTCTTCTTCTTTTATTACAATATTACCTAACAGCCCCCCGCCTGAAGAACCATCATACAACTTATAAGAAGTGAGATTGGAAAATAAACTGTGAGGAAATAAAAATATCAAACTAAAGCCTTTGTTTTTTGAAAGATCTGGAAAGAAAACAAAAGGCTTCTCTTGTGGCGCAGTTTTTAATCAGGACCCGCCATTATGAGACAGACTTCGTTGCGAGATTAATAGGCACAGGGGGAGGCGAGCCACTACTTTGTTATCATGTTTGTATTTTAAGTTCGACTTGGCAAATTCTTCCCTGGAAAGCCTAATTTATGATGCAACCTGTATGGGAAAATTAATGAGCAAACGCCTAGATTTTATTTCATCGGAGCTGAGAATGATGGCATCTGCCGCTTGAGAAGGACTTTTGGATCAGCGTGTGAGAATTTATTGCAAACAAAAGACTTACCAGCTTCAAAAAAAAAGGGAGAGCCTTATAAAGTTCACACAGAAGCATAATATTGCTTACTTTAACTCGCCTGTGGAAACAACCCAGAGGCAATTAAGAAGAAAAAGGATAACATCAAGAAGATTGAAAGATAGGACTGGTGAACACTAAAAGCAGCAGAAATATGAGATGACTGGACCCTTACTGAACTCGAAGCATGGGAACCCCCAACAAAATATATAATTTGGCAAAATATTTGGACTTTATGATATGTATTGGTATAATTTGGAATAATTAATGTGATATGATTGGATTGTTAAATGGGAAAACTTTTTTAAAAAAAGAGTGGTCATTATGCTCTTCACAACAATATCCCCCCCCCGAACTGATGTCCAATGTGCGCACCTCCAAAGGAAACAGACCCCTCCATAAGGGCTACAGTGGCATCCCCACCTGTTGGGAAGGTAAGGAATATTATGAAAGATTAATCACACGCTGAGCTCACCTTTGTAATAAATATCATCGTGGACGTATCTGTGATGTCGCTAGTAATCACCTGCCCATAGTGGAACCTCTCGATTTTGCAGAAGTAGGCTATTTTCGCTACTGAAGAATCGGGCAGTGGTTTCAAAAAGGTCAACGCTTCTGAAAACAGGAGGGATACATGGAGAGCTTTCATCTGGAAGGGTTTCAAGCTGGCAACCATGATTTCGGTGTCCGGGTAAGCATGGGCCTACACATTAACTCTTGAGAGGAGGGAGGTGTTAGAAAATAATAATAGAAAAAGGACTGGGAAGTGCTGGGAATCTGCATATTGGGTCAGAATGAGCAGCGCTTATTGGGAGAGAGGTTTTTAATTTTATTTTAAAGCAGCTCTTTTTTGGAACTGTGCTTCTTGTGACAACGGAACAGCAGCTGACACAGACTTTTCATAGTAAAAGCACTCTTGTACAGTGGTATCTCAGGTTACAGATGCTTCAAGGTTACAGACGCTTCAGGTTACAGACTCCACTAACCCAGAAGTAGTACAGTGGTACCTCTGGCTACGTACTTAATTCGTTCCAGAGATCCGTTTTTAACCTGAAACTGTTCTTAACCTGAGGTACCACTTTAGCTAATGGGGTCTCCTGCTGCCACCAGCGAGCGATTTCTGTTCTCATCCTGAGGTAAAGTTCTTAACCCAAGGTATTACTTCTGCGTTAGCGGTGTCTGTAACCCGAAGTGTTTGTAACCTGAGGTGTTTTGTAACCTGAGGTACCACTGTACCTCGGGTTAAGAACTTTGCTTCAGCATGAGAACAGAAATTGCACCGCCACAGTGCGGTGGCAGCAGGACACCCCATTAGCTAAAGTGGTACCCTCAGGTTAAGAACAGTTTCAGGTTAAGAACGGACCTCCAGGACGAATTAAGTTCTTAACCCGTGGGTACCACTGTATCACATAAGGCTGCACTCACGGTAAAGGTAAAGGACCCCTGACAGTTAAGTCCAGTCGTGGCCGACTCTGGGGTTGCGGCACTCATCTCGCTTTACAGGCCAAGGGAGCCGGCGTACAGCTTCCGGGTCATGTGGCCAGCATGACTAAGCCGCTTCTGGCGCAACGGAACACCGAAACCAGAGCAGCGCACAGAAACGTTGTTTACCTTCCCGGCACCTATTAATCTACTTGCACTTTTTGGGGTCCTTTCGAACTGCTAGGTTTGGCAGGAGCTGGGACTGAGCAATGGGAGCTCACCCCATCGTGGGGATTTGAACCGCCGACCTTCTGATCGGCAAGTCCTAGGCTCTGTGGTTTAACCCACAGTGCCACCCATGTTCCATGCACTCACAGTGGGAAAGATTAAATACACATTGTCATTAGAGGTTGTGACGCAAAGCCCGGCTTTTTAAAAAGCCGGGAAGAGGGCAAAGGGAATGATGCAGAGAAGCAGTGGTACAGAGTTACGCAGGGATACGTTACCTCAGGAATTCATATCGGTTTTTGAACTCTCGGTTAAGTTCCTTGTCTAGCTCATAGGCAAAAAAATCACTTTTGTCCACCACCAACAGTTCCGTTTCCTCCAGGCAGACAACAGTGGCGACCCTCCTTGTGTTTTGCAAAAGGGCAATTTCCTAATAATAATAAGCAGGACGATAGGAATGAATCTGGGCAGCACAGCCAATAGTAGGTGCTACAGCCAGTGATATTTCAAGTCAACCTAGGATTCTTCACTTTGCAGTTCTCATCAATGCATAGTTCTATCTCTTCCTAATTTCTCACAATTTTTTCTTTCCTTATCCACCTCCCGCTTTACTTCAGGACATCCCTACTTTTCAACAGAGAAATGTTGGAGGGTATGTGTTATGTATTGAAGTTCTCACCCTGGCCACCAGGAGTATCGTGTATATAGTTTTCACTCAGGTCCACGTCAGTGACCTTAGGCAAGAAACCCTGGGTTGTTGTTGCTACAATGTTGACAGCCGGCTGCCTATAAAAGCAGGCCGGCTGTTTGCGGTTCAGTTCTGTTCCAGCTTACAAATAAAGAGCTGTTTTGAAGAATCGCTGTGTCGTCTGATATGTTCACCCACAACTTAACAGTATGGAGTTATGTGACCGCGGAGCCAAGGAGATAAGTAACTATACAATCTTTAGAAGACATCTGAAGGCAGCCCTGTACAGGGAAGTTGTTTAATGTTTCATGTCTTTATATACCGTATTTTTTGCTCTATAAGACTCACTTTTTCCCTCCTAAAAAGTAAGGGGAAATGTGTGTGCGTCTTATGGAGCGAATGCAGGCTGCGCAGCTTATCCCAGAAGCCAGAACAGCAAGAGGGATTGCTGCTTTCACTGCGCAGCGATCCCTCTTGCTGTTCTGGCTTCTGAGATTCAGAATATATTTTTTCTTGTTTTCCTCCTCCAAAAACTAGGTGCGTCTTATGGTCTGGTGCGTCTTATAGAGCGAAAAATATGGTATGTTGGAAGCCAACCAAAGTGGCTGAGGCAATCCAGTCATATGGGCAGGGTATAAATAATAAAAGTATTATTATTAGTATTGAATAGGAAAAGGTAAAGAGACCCCTGACCGTTAGGTCCAGTCATGGCCGACTCTGGGGTTGTGGCGCTCATCTCGCTTTATTGGCCGAGGGAGCCAGCGTACAGCTTCCGGGTTATGCGGCCACCATGACTAAGCCGCTTCTGGCAAACCAGAGCAGCGCACGGAAATGCCATTTACCTTCCCGCTGGAGCGGTATCTATTTATCTACTTGCACTTTGACGTGCTTTCGAACTGCTAGGTTGGCAGGAGCAGGGACCGAGCAACGGGAGCTCACCCCGTCGCGGGGATTCAAACCGCCAACCTTCTGATCCTAGACTCTGTGGTTTAACACACAGCACCACCCGCGCCCCACTATTATTGAATATTATTGAATAGGACACCCCTAGTTTCATTGGAGAAATTTTAGGGGGTATGTTTTTCTCTTGCCCGCTGTGGCTTACAACTCTAAACCATTGTTTCCACAGCACCTCTGCTCTTTTCACTGCAGTTTTTCTCCTTCTCTGGCTTCTGCTCTGCTTTCCTAGACTCTAATTTTTCTGTTTGCCCTACCCCTCTCTATCTGAGAATTTGTTCTGAGTACCAGAACTGAACTCAGATCCTGGGATTCCATGTTGATGTAAAGGTCCATGCATTAAAAACAATTTAAATTCTGATATACATGATTAATCCAGAATGCGGCAGCTGGGATGGGTGACTGGGAGTGGCTGCCGGGACCATATAACACCAGTCCTGAATGACCTACGTTGGCTCCCAGTAGGTTTCCGAGCACAATTCAAAGTGTTGGCGCTGATCTTTAAAGCTCTAAATAGCTGCGGCCCAGTATAGCTGAAGGAGCGTCTCTACCCCCATTGTCCAGCCCAGACACTGAGGTCCAGCTGGTGGTTCCCTCACTGCAAGAAGTGATTTACTGGGAACCAGGCAGAGGGGCTTCTCGATAGTGGCACCCGCCCTAAGGAGCACCCTCCCACCCGATGTCAAGGAAATAAACAAACATCTGACTTTTAGAAGACATCTAAAAGACATCACCTGTATCGGGAAATTTTAAATGTCTAATGGTTTATCATTTTTAATGTCCTGTAAGCTGCCCAGAGTGACTGGGGAAAGCCAGCCAGATGGGTGGGGTATAAATAATATTAATAATAATAATAATAATAATAATAATAATAATAATAATAATAATAATAATAATATGATTCTTACAGATTAGCACTTACACCAAAACAAGCACCTCTCCGAACTGTAGTGGGAGCGGCTTCTGCAAACGCGCTGCTACCATCCTCGTCATCAGTGATAGCAACGGAACCACAATAGATGAAGTAGAAACTGTCTGCCTGGTGTCCCTTTTTGATGATGACTCTCCTGCGACCAAACCTAGAAAGCAGACAACCGGACAAGATCATTAGCTAGTGGAAATAAACCTGAACCGAAAGACGTCTGCTTACAGAAGCAACATAGGTAAAAAAAAGGTAAAGGTAAAGGACCCCTGGACAGTTACGTCCAGTCAAAGGCGACTATGGGGTTGCGGTGCTCATCTCGCTTTCAGGCCGAGGGAGCCGGCGTTTGTCCACAGAGAGCTTTCTGGATCATGTGGTCAGCATAACTAAACTGCTTCTGCCACAATGGGACACCGTAATGGAAACCAGAGCACACGGAAACGCCATTTACCTTCCCGCCGCAGCGGTACCTATTTATCTACTTGCGCTGGCGCGCTTTCCAACTGCTAGGTTGGCAGGAGCTGGGACAGAACAACGGGAGCTCACCCCGTCGCGGGGATTCGAACCGCCAACCTTCTGATTGGCAAGCCCAAGAGGCTCAGTGGTTTAGAACCACAGTGCCACCTGCGTAGGAACGGTACATCTAGGCTGAGTTGTACACAAATCCCATTAGTAACTGTACAATCCACATTTTGTCATGCGGTCTGCCGCATAGAGCAAACCACTCCTGCAATTTTTATGCACGGAAGTTGACTCCAATTTAAAAAGCAGCTGCTGCAATATCCCTGGTTTATGTTTGAACTGGGGGCTGAGTCCCTGATTCCACTGCTTGCCAAACCCTGCTCCCTGCTCTCCTCCTCGGTAACCCATTAGATATTATGCAGCTGCTATAGAAATACGCTCCAACATTTCTCCTATAAAAATAAAAAGGTAAAGGTACCCCTGCCCGTATGGGCCAGTCTTGACAGACTCTAGGGTTGTGCGCCCATCTCACTCAAGAGGCCGGGGCCAGCGCTGTCCAGAGACACTTCCGGGTCACGTGGCCAGCGTGACATCGCTGCTCTGGTGAGCCAGAGCCGCACACGGAAATGCTGTTTACCTTCCCGCTAGTAAGCGGTCCCAATTTATCTACTTGCACCCGGGGGTGCTTTCGAACTGCTAGGTTGGCAGGCGCTGGGACTGAACAATGGGAGCGCACCCCGCTGCAGGGATTCGAACCGCCGACCTTTCGATCGGCAAGCCCTAGGCGCTGAGGCTTTTACCCACAGCGCCACCTGCGTCCCACCCAATAAAAATAGGGACGTCCTATTCCAGAATAATAATTTTACTATTGATAATCAGCTAATTATTATTATTATTATTATTTATTTATTTATTTATTTATTTATACCCCAGCCACTCTGGGTGGCTTCCAACAGAACACTAAAATACAATAACCTATTAAACATTAAAAGCTTCCCTAAAAAGGGCTGCCTTCCGATGTCTTCTAAAAGTTTGGTAGTTGTTTTTCTCTTTGACATCTGGTGGGAGAGCATTCCACAGGGCGGGTGCCACTACCGAGAAGGCCCTCTGCCTGGTTCCCTGTAACTTGGTTTCTCGCAGTGAGGGAACCGCCAGAAGGCCCTCGGCGCTGGACCTCAGTGCCCGGGCAGAACGATGGGGGTGGAGACGCTCCTTCAGGTATACTGGGTTACCCCAGCCATTCTTGGCCGCTTCCAAGATAAATAAACTTTTTTAAAAAAAAAACAAAACTTCACTATACAGGGCTGCCTTCAGATGGCTCAGGAGTCAAATAACTCCATACCCTCCAACATTTCTCTGAAGAAAATAGCGACACCCTAAGGAAAGGACTTTTTAGGATCAAATCAGAAACTGGGACGGCTTTTGTAAAGTGGGGACTGTCCCTGGGAAATAGGGGCACTTGGAGAGTCTGAACAGACCATGAGATCACCAGAGAGCCACTTCTGGGCGCCTTCCTCAATCCCACACTGTTCCTTCTCGACTCAAGGCTGGCAGGCAGAGGAGCCAGTGGCCTCTTTTTTAAACTGAGACTTCCAGATCTAGCTCTAGCTCTTTTTGGACCAGGATTGAAGCAGCTTCAGTAACCCATCCCCTGGTAACCGCACGAGTGTGGTTTATCGCGATGGGCATTGCAAGCGCTGCGCTTCAAAATAGCCGGAGAGCTGCAGCTGGCGCAGAATGTGCCCACCTGACTATTCCAAGGGGCACCGTATTTTTCGCACTATAAGACGCACCAGACCACAAGACACACCTAGTTTTTGGAGGAGGAAAACAAGAAAAAAATATTCTGAATCCCAGAAGCCAGAACAGCAAGAGGGATCGCTGCGCAGTGAAAGCAGCAATCCCTCTTGCTGTTCTGGCTTCTGGGATAGCTGCACAGCCTGCATTTACTCCATAAGACGCACACACATTTCCCCTTCCTTTTAAGGTGGGAAAAAGTGAGTCTTATAGAGCAAAAAAATACAGTAAGTACGGGACCGCATAATAGCAATCCTGAAAGCAGTGCCTGTGAGCTACCAGCACTGGCGTACAAGGGGGGACTCGGGAGCGCCACCGTACTGTTATGTACTGAAGTTCTCACCCTGGGCCAGCAGGGGGATACTGTAAATAGTTTTCACTCAGGTCCACATATGCAAATAAGGAATTGAAAGTGACTGGACTGGATAGTTACAGAAAGTGGTTACTGTTGCTTTGTAGTGGAGCTCTATATAAGCAGGTTGGCTGAACCCTTCAGTTCAGTTCTGTCCTGGCCTGTGAATAAACAAGAGCTGTTTGAAGAATCGCTGTGTCGTCTGATACGTTCACCCACAACTTAACAGGTACCATTTGGGGAAAGGGTGCCATCGCGGCCGCTGCCCCTGGGACATGTGCCAGCCATGCCCCTGCCTGTTCTCTGTCCAGGGGCTGCAGCATGTTGCTTCTCCACTGGCTACCAGGCTCATTTCAGGGTATTGGTATTAGAATTTAGATCTCTGGACAATTCAGAAAGATGGAATCAAATTACAGAAATACATTGAATTGCTACGAAGCCCACCATCGCCACCCTTCCGGTTACCGTTCGAAGCGAATCACTTTGGCCAGAAGACTTTGCAGGGTTGGACTATACTGTCGAAAACTTTCCACGAACTGCAAGCGGTTCTGCAAATGTTTTATTTCAGAATCAGTCCTCCACGCCGGTGGCTTCTTGGTGATTTGGATTGCTTTAAAAGGAAAATGCTCCTGTGAAGATACCAAACACCGTTTAGATTAATAGACAAGCACATTTATGTGGGTCAGCGAAGGCATTCCTATGCTCCCGACAGACTTGAGGATGATTATTTTTCTCAGGATATAAAACCAACTGACCCTCTTCTTGCCTTTTATGTGCACCTGCAGAACGTTTTATACAGCTGTCCACGAGATTGTCTTACACTGAGAATCACAATTCAACTGAGAAAGCAATGGCTGCATTTTTTATTATGATTTTTTATTAAATTTTCTGTTTTACAATGTCAGATAAACATTTTACATACGTAAGATATCCATGGCTTCCCTTCCTCCCTTTCCACGGTTCATTTTGCATATCTTATATCCCTGCATATTTTACAAAAACTATACCAATCTGTCAGGGAACTGCCATCGGAGCCAGAGGGAGAGGGAGGGCTCCAGAGGGATTCCGGAGAGCGTCCCGGGAGGGAGAGAAGCAGCACATCTTCTGGGGAAGGAAATCAGCGTAGCACCAGTGGAGAAGGGGGCAGATGGGGGAATCGGCGAGGTGGCTCCAAGACTCCTCGCCGGGGACCAGTGGGGAGAGCACGGGTCCTCCGATGCCCACACCCTCCCTGCGCAGAAGGCTTCCGCACAGGGAAAGTAGGCGGAGACTAGGCATCAAAGAGCTTTTATGCTGGAAGAAGTTCAAGAAACGCCCACTAATGGATTCTGCCAGCGACTGAGACAGCCACGGGCGCGTGGCCGTGCAAACAGAAAGGGTTCACTAAGGCAACCAACCAAGGGTGGCGCCGATTTACGCACAAGCAACCCCTAGAACCATTACACAATCGGTTTTCCATTATTGCATCCATCAAAACTTATTTACACTGTTGTCTTAATGCTGCCAGCGTTTTCAGCTGTACACAATTATTTTCCATATTTTCAATAAACATTTCCCCATTTTCTTTAAAGAGTATGTTCTTCTTGTTTTCTTATTCTATATGTCAAGTTGTGCATATTCTGTCAACTTACTGTATTTTTCCGTCTATAAGACGAGGTTTTAACAACAGCAAAACATTGTGCCTTAATAAAATAAGAAGAGAAGCTTTTGGGGGGGGTTAAAGGCGCAGAGTGGGGATATTACATCAATTGCCGCACTCCTCCTGTGTAACGTTGCGCCGCCCGCACACAAATGGAGCCACGCGAAGACACCGCAAGGCAAAAATGGACTGCCTACAGCCTCCCTCCCCACTGTCGGGTGGGCAGACTGGGAGGAGGGAAGCAGAATACTGCACGGAGGCTCCGCGGAAAGTGCTTAAAGTGATTGGAAAAAAAGCTTCACCACTCTTTCCCACCCCCAAAAGCTCAACTCTGCCCCCCCCCCCCCGCACAAAGCTCAGCAACTGCCGACGAGGGAACAGCTGATAGGCGGCCTCCTAGATGCCTGGGGCTGTTAGCCTCTGGCCAATCCTCCCTGTTAAGTTGTGGGTGAACATATCAGACGACACAGCGATTCTTCAAACAGCTCTTGTTTATTCACAGGCCAGAACAGAACTGAACTGAAGGGTTCAGCCAGCCTGCTATATATAGAGCTCCACTAGAACGCAGCAGTAACCATTTTCTGTAACTATCCAATCACTGAACGTTACTTTCAATCCCTTATTTGCATATGTGGACCTGAGTGAAAACTATCTACAGTAACCCCCTGCTGGCCCAGGGTGAGAACTTCAGTATATAACACTCCCCCCACCCCTCAGAAATTTCAACAAGTCAGGGCAATTTCTCCCCTTTTTCTTAATTTGGGGTCCCCAAAAATAGGGGGCGTCCTATATACGGGGGTGTCCAAAACACAGAAAAATACGGTAAGTTGCCAATTTTTTAATGTTTGAGACCTTGCTCATTTTCCATTTGGGGGCTAACAAAACACGGGGCGCGGTTGTTACATACATAAATCACCTTTTCTGACACCTGGGAATTTCAGTACAGTGGTACTTTGGGTTAAGTACTTAATTCGTTCCGGAGGTCCGTTCTTAACCTGAAACTGTTCTTAACCTGAAGCACCACTTTAGCTAATGGGGCCTCCCGCTGTCGCCGCACCGCCAGAGCACAATTTCTGTTCTCATCCTGAAGCAAAGTTCTTAACCTGAAGCACTATTTCTGGGTTAGCGGAGTCTGTAACCTGAAGCGTATGTAACCTGAAGCGTATGTAACCCGAGGTACCACTGTATGGGTTATCCCCAACAGAAAGGACTCTGGTTTGGGCGGGGGAGGGGAGTAATTTTAAACATTTTGTTCAATTCATTATAAATCATTTCCCAACATCCTTTTACCCTTTTACATGTCCATCCAGAGATTCTTATGTATGAAGCAGTGATCAGAACTACCAGAGGCAGAAGCACTGAGTATCTAGCATGTGGTGTCTGCAGATCTCAGGAGCATCAAGGCCACACACCTGCCACAGGCTGTCGGAATCAGGCTGTGCTACTCAGGTTGCACAACTTGGAGCCGTTTGCCAACTTCTTTGTTATTTTTAGTTGAGATGAAGTTAGTACATATGGGAGCCCTCCTGTTTCCTCTGTGTTATGTACTGAAGTTCTCACCCTGGGCCAGCAGGGGCTTACTGTAGATAGTTATGCAAATGAAGGATGGAAAGTGACGTTCAGTGATTGGATAGTTTTTATGCAAATGAAGGATGGAAAGTGACGTTCAGTGATTGGATAGTTTTAGAAAGCTGCTACAGTAACGTTGTACTGGAGCTCTATATAAGCAGACTGACTGAGCTCTTCAGTTCAGTTCTGTTCTGGCCTCTGAATAAACAAGAGCTGTTTGAAGAATCGCTGTGTCGTCTGATATGTTCACCCACAACTTAACACTCTGCGAGGTGCATCCCTGGACTCCTGCCCCCCAAGCAGTGCCGTATTTATGTATAAGCTAAACAAGCTATAGCTTAGGGCCCCACTCTCTTGGGGGGCCCAAAAAAATGTAAAGGAAAAAAACTGGATGTACATTTCCAAAATATAAGATTAAAAAACACAAATAAAATAAAACCTGAATACAGCAACAGTGTTTTGTGTTGTGTAGGCTCCTATGTCCCAGTCCCAAAGAAGTGTAGTGCCAAAGAATGCTCCAACTACCGCACAATTGCACTCATTTCACACGCTAGCAAGGCTATGCTTAAAATTCTACAAGGAAGGCTTAAGCAGTATGTGGATCGAGAACTCCCAGAAGTGCAAGCTGGATTTAGAAGAGGCAGAAGAACCAGAGACCAAATTGCAAACATGCGCTGGATTATGGAGAAAGCTAGAGAGTTCCAGAAAGACATCTACTTCTGCTTCATTGACTATGCAAAAGCCTTTGACTGTGTCGACCACAGCAAACTATGGCAAGTTCTTAAAGAAATGGGAGTGCCTGATCACCTCATCTGTCTCCTGAGAAATCTCTATGTGGGACAAGAAGCTACAGTTAGAACTGGATATGGAACAACTGATTGGTTCAAAATTGGGAAAGGAGTACGACAAGGCTGTATTTTGTCTCCCTGCTTATTTAATTTATATGCAGAATACATCATGCGAAAGGCTGGGCTGGATGAATCCCAAGCTGGAATTAAGATTGCCGGAAGAAATATCAACAACCTCAGATATGCAGATGACACAACCTTGATGGCAGAAAGTGAGGAGGAATTAAAGAACCTTTTAATGAGGGTGAAAGAGGAGAGCGCAAAATATGGTCTGAAGCTCAACATCAAAAAAACGAAGATCATGGCCACTGGTCCCATCACCTCCTGGCAAATAGAAGGGGAAGAAATGGAGGCAGTGAGAGATTTTACTTTCATCGGCTCCATGATCACTGCAGATGGTGACAGCAGCCACGAAATTAAAAGACGCCTCCTTCTTGGGAGAAGGGCAATGACAGGCCTAGACAGCATCTTGAGAAGTAGAGACGTCACCTTGCCAACAAAGGTCCGTATAGTTAAAGCCATGGTTTTCCCAGTAGTGATATATGGAAGTGAGAGCTGGACCATAAAGAAGGCTGATCGCCGAAGAACTGATGCTTTTGAATTATGGTGCTGGAGAAGACTCTTGAGAGTCCCATGGACTGCAAGAAGATCAAACGCATCCATTCTTAAGGAAATCAGGCCTGAGTGCTCACTGGAAGGACAGATCGTGAAGCTGAGGCTCCAGTACTTTGGCCACCTCATGAGAAGAGAAGACTCCCTGGAGAAGACACTGATGCTGGGAAAGATGGAGGGCACAAGGAGAAGGGGACGACAGAGGACGAGATGGTTGGATAGTGTTTTCGAGGTTACCAGCATGAGTCTGACCAAACTGCGGGAGGCAGTGGAAGACAGGAGTGCCTGGCGTGCTTTGGTCCATGGGGTCACGAAGAGTCGGACACAACTAAACGACTAAACAACAACAACAACAAGGCTCCTATGATGTAAGTCATGGGCCCCCGCCTGCTAGCCTGCTCCCTAAAATATCACTGCTTTGCTCATTTCTATATATAGGGTCAGGACACAGGTGGCGCTGTGGGTTAAACCAGAAAGCCTAGGACTTGCTAATCAGAAGGTTGGCGGTTCGAATCCCCGCGACGGGGTGAGCTCCCGTTGCTTGGGGTGAGCTCCTGCCCAGCTAGCAGTTCAAAAGCACGTCAAAGTGCAAGTAGATCAATAGGTACTGCTCCGGCAGGAAGGTAAACGGCGTTTCTGTGCGCTGCTCTGGTTCGCCAGAAGCGGCTTAGTCATGCTGGTCACATGACCCAGAAGCTTTACGCTGCCTCCCTCGGCCAATAAAGCGAGATGAGCGCTGCAACCCCAGAGTTGGTCACGACTGGACCTAATGGTCAGGGGTTCCTTTACCTTTATATATAGGGTGCCTACATTCTGCATGGACTGGTCACATGGAAACATGTGCAAATGGCTTTAGATAGCTATTAGGTCCATAAATTACCATATAGCATATATTCAACACAAAAAACAGCGACAATTTGTTGTTGACAAAGGACAGCTGGGCATATAAAGGCCCCCATTACCTTTGGTAGCTTAGGGCCTCATCAAACCTAAATCTGGCCCTGGCCCCAAGCCCTACCCCATGGCATTGCTGACTGACTCTCTCTCCTGCTATGTGTAGATCTTTGGGTGTGAATCACACCACGGTGGTCCCGTAATCTCTCAACTTTTCTTCTTCTTCTTCTTCAACGGTGATGCTTCAAGATGGCCTCTGCTTTGATCTCATGATGGGGAGGTGTTATGTACTGAGTTGAATAGGATCCAAAATGCAGCAGTCTGATTGGTCCTAGAACAATAGGATTCAGAATGCAGCAGATTGGTCCTAGAACAACAGGATCCAGAATGCAGCAGTCTGATTAGTCCACAGGAGCCACCCAATCCAGCTCCAGGTGGAAGTGAATCCGCAACCTGATTGGCCTACAGGTGAATCCCGGAAATAGCCAATCACGTGGGGCCCATTGTGTAAATATTGTATATAAGGCAGACATTCTGAGGGAACATCCATTCCTCCTCACCACTATGAGCTGAATAAAGAGCATGAAATCCACTCTCAACTCTGAGCATATTTCAGGAGGTCACTTGGGAAGCAAAAGAGCATTTCAGGATTGTGCTAAGGTGAGCCACATCATGGATGAGGAAGCAGGCAGGGCCATGTATTCAAAGACCACTTCTCAAGGAAGAAGCAGCGTCACCCTTGGCTTATTAAGCCACTTTCCCCAGTAATAGCAAAACACACCAAACGGTCATATTCAAACAACTGAACTAAACCCACAAACACAAATGCCTACTGTTACTGTAAGGGCAAGAAAAGACATAAGATGGTTTGTCCTGACCTTTGAAACACTGAACTCATGGCGATCAAACACAGCATTGGCAGTTTTCTTGTCCTGTAAGTTAGACAATGTGCTGCAATTAATTTCGTTATTCTTCATACAAGAAGAAAAAGCTTAAGTACGTTAGCTCTTTTAAATAACTTTATTATAATTAAGAAGTCCTATGACCCTTTAGCATTGGTGGTATAGTGGTGAGCATAGCTGCTTTCCAAGCAGTTGACCCGGGTTCGTTTCCCGGTCAATGCAGAGAGTCTTTCTAGGGACGCGGGTGGCGCTGTGGGTTAAACCAGAGGCTAGGGCTTGCCGATCAGAAGGTCGGCGGTTCGAATCCCCGTGACGGGGTGAGCTCCTGTTGCTCGGTCCCTGCTCCTGCCCAGCTAGCAGTTCGAAAGCACGTCAAAGTGCAAGTAGATAAATAGGTACCACTCTGGCGGGAAGGTAAACGGCGTTTCCGTGCACTGCTCTGGTTCGCCAGAAGCGGCTTAGTCATGCTGGCCACATGACCCGGAAGCTGTACGCCAGCTCCCTTGGCCAATAAAGTGAGATGAGCACCGCAACTCCAGAGTCGTTCGCGACTGGACCTAACAGTCAGGGTACCTTTACCTTTACCCCTTTATGACCCTTTAAGGACTTATAAGCTACGCAAGGTCTGGTGCAGTTTCAAATTGGATGGGTGAATGGCACGTTGAGATTACTGCATCCCAGGGGGTTGGACTAGACCCCTTGGGGTCCCTTCCAACTTACAGAGAATCTTACTGTGTTTCTATTCTATGATTTCAGCACAAGCCGACTTCATTGGGTGCAGCAGGTTCCTCAACCTCTGCTTCAAAGGCTCAGGCAATCATCATTATTTTATTAAATAGAAAAAGCACCAATGAGGAACGAGAGCAATCGTAAATACAAGACTTTTGGTTGTGGTATTTTTGTGTGTGTGTGTTTTGCGATATTCCTTACTTCCTCAATCGCCCCACGAGTGTCTTTCTCTACCAGGTGAAAACATGAGAATCCTTTCAGTCCACGCCGGAAGCACCGACATACCTTGATCATCAGGATAACATTCTTAAAAAACCTGTGGAAGTTCTTTGCGGGTGGGAGAAGGAAAAATGCAATGAAAGAAACAATGGTGTCACTTCTGTTTTGAGGAGCAAGGATAGAGATAGATAGATGATAGAGATAGATGATGATAGATAGATAGATAGATAGATGATAGATAGATAGATAGATATAGATAGATATAGATAGATGATAGATAGATAGATAGATAGATAGATAGATAGATAGATAGATATTAGATGGATTAGATTACACACACACACACACACACACACACACACACACACACATACACACACACAAAACCAGATGGCTACACTACCATGTTCCACTTCTTAGACTGACTAATATAATATCAGATTTTTCTCTTTTCCTTCCATTACGGTGTTACTCCTTTGTCCTACCCAGGGCCGGCCCACTCATGAGGCACAGCGAGGTGACCACCTCAGGCGGCACAATCCACAGGGGCGGCAGATCCCCATGTAGGTCTTCATTCCTCCTTTCTTCCTGATATGTTGATCTCTACTCAATCCCTTCTTCCCTGGAGGGGAGGGGGGCACCGTTTTGTGGTTCGCCTCAGGCGCCAAAATATATTGGGCTGGCGTGCTGCTTCATCTCACCTCTGAGGTATTTTTGTACCCTCATTGCTCCTTACCCATCAATGCTCCCTCTTATCCCACACTGCATCCCCCCCCCATTAAAACTAATTTTATGGCCGAAAATAATGCTCTTTTTTCAGGTGACTTTGGCCACCGGCACTTTGTAATTTCACTCTTTCAAACTGCAGAGATGGCAAGCCTAAAACATGCTTTATCGGGGAGCGAGCTCCATGAAATTTATTGGGACATACTTGTGAGAAGACATGCGTAAAAGATCAGGGCTGTTAAAAATCTGTTCAGCTTGGTCTTCTCTGATAAATCAGTTTTGTACTCCTCCTCTTCCTCACATTTTCCTCTCTTACACTCCTTCCCTCTTTAGTGTGCATCTGTCTTTCATTTAGAGCCAGTTAAATTTATTTTATTTTCTTTGCCAGTCATTACCTACCTCCAAGGGGCTCAAACAGAAAACTAAGTGTCTCACGCAGGGAATAAGACATACCTGATATGCAATTCGCCGTCCCCTGGAAAATCGTCTAGAATCTATTAAGACAAAATTACACAGCCTGTTCTTAAAATCTTTGACCTGAATTTTGTCCACCTGTTAAGAGAAAAAGTTCATTTCCTCTCCCTCAATTTATAGACAGGTGGGAAGATACCTTCTAGATCTCTGGATAATTTTGGTTTGGCTTTTTTGGGCTTCCTCTCCCAGCTGCGCTGTGGTGCCTCCCATATTCTTCCAGAGGACCCCACAATCTTGAGTAGAACTTCAGGGTATACCGATTTTCTACAAGACATCCTCATTAAACCATTGCTTTCCAGTTTTTGTTACCTGTGCTGTCCTCCTGTGGGGTTTTTTTTTTTTACCAGGCCTAATTTATGTGGATTATTGGGGTGGGGGGGTAATAAAATTCAATTGTGACATCAGCCTAGCCCAGGGGTCAGCAAACTTTTACAGCAGGGGGCCAGTCCACTGTCCCTCAGACCTTGTGGGGGGCCGGACTACATTTTTGGGGGGAAATGAACGAATTCCTATGCCCCACAAATAACCCAGAGATGCATTAAAAGGACACATTCCACTCATGTAAAAACACACTGATTCCTGGACCATCCATGGGCCGGATTGAGCAGGCGATTGGGCCGGATCTGGCCCCTGGGCCTTAGTTTGCCTACCCATGGCCTAGCCAATGTGGACATGCAAAGCACTATAGCCTTATCAAGGCTCATATAGTAAAGATACTTGTAAACTAGTATCTTTCCCCTATAGAAAGCTCTATAAATAGAGAGGATGTATCTCTCGGGATGCAGGTGGCACTGTGGGTTAAACCACAGAGCCTAGGACTTGCCGATCAGAAGGTCAGCGGTTCAAATCCCCGCGACGGGGTGAGCTCCCGTTGTTCGGTCCCTGTTCCTGCCAACCTAGCAGTTCGAAAGCACATCAAAGTGCAAGTAGATAAATAGGTACCACTCCGGCGGGAAGGTAAACGGCATTTCCGTGCGCTGCTCTGGTTCACCAGAAGCGGCTTAGTCATGCTGGCCACATGACCCAGAAGCTGTACGCCGGCTCCCTCAGCCAATAAAGTGAGATGAGCACCGCAACCCCAGAGTCGGCCACGACTGGACCTAATGGTCAGGGGTCCCTTTACCTTTACCTTATCTCTCGGAATACTAGCTGTTGGAAATAAACAACAGGGGATAGCCTGTTGTTTATCATCTCCAAGTGCTGCTTTGGATCTACCCAGACTCCAGAGGCATCTGCCCAATCATTGTTGGAAACACAATGCTGCCCAATGTAACTCAGTTCGCAGTTATGCTACAAGGGTCCCAAGAACTCTCCCTGACCGTCTTCAGAACAAGGGGTTATACATAAAAACTAAGTTGGTAGGAAATCACACTCTCAAAGCCACAACACTGGCGAGAAGATCTCAGTGACATCAAAGTGAGAGCAGCTGTAGAAAAGGAATTTCGTTAGACGTGCAACAAGAGGATGTAGGATGATCATAGGTGTGAGCTTCAGGAACAGGTCAAGGAAGATATATCCCACCCACCCCCACCTGCTGAATAAGGGAAGAGACTAGGTCATTCTGTCCTACTCCCCAGCACTCACTGAACCAAATATGCTGCAATCCGGCAGAATACAGTTCTCTTCTCCAGAGCTTTGCAGGCATGGCGAGAGGCTTCCTGGGAGTCACTTCGCTTGGAGGCCTTAGATTCCCCCACCAAAAGACCTTCTGTGACAGAATCAGAACCAACGGCTATAGAATCGGGCAACTGCACTCTCAAGATAATCCACATTCCGTTCTATTTTCTAGAGGCAGAGAACACAAGAGCACTCTTGCTAGCCTGGGCATAACGTTTACACCACCTAGTGTTCTGTTTCCATTCTTCTGTGGTGACAACTCGTAGCTGAGTAAGATTAACTCACGGTCTTAACAGTGAGTCCGCAAGTGACTGTGGAGGCCAATTCTGGATCCACGCATCCTTCCACAGTGGGGACATAGGTTTCCGGGCGGCAGTTGATCATGGTGAGGATTTGCCAAGCGTGCCTTCCTCTTAGCACGTTTCTCCCTTTCGTCCTGAGTTTGAGCATCTTCAAAGTCCATGACACTTTTGGTAAAGGCTGCTCTCCAATTGTAGTGCTCGCAGTCCAGTGTCTGCCAGTTTTCGGTGTTTATACTACATTTTTAAAAAAGATTTGCCTTGAGAGAGTTTTTAAGCCTCTTTTGTTGACCACCAGCATTACGCTTTCCATTTTTAAGTTCAGAATAGAGCAGTTCCTTTGGAAGACGATAATCAGGCATCTGCACAACATGACGAGTCCAATGAAGCTGATGTTGAAGAATCATTTCTTTGACACTGGTGACCTTTGCTTCTTCCAGCTTTAGTTCGCCTGTCTTCCCCAGCGATGTGTACAAATTTTCAGAGACACCGTTGATGGAATCTTTCAAGGAGTTGGAGATGGCATTTATTAGTGGTTCATATAATAAATATGCAAGGGCAGCAGCAATTTTCTTTTGGTTATGCAAGCACCTAACACATTTAGTAGCTGTTATATTCAACAAAGGTCCGTATTGTAAAAGCTATGGTTTTCCCAGTAGTGATGTATGGAAGTGAGAGCTGGACCATAAAGAAGGCTGATCGCCAAAGAATTGATGCTTTTGAATTATGGTGCTGGAGAAGACTCTTGAGAGTCCCATGGACTGCAAGAAGATCAAACTGATCCATTCTGAAGGAAATCAGCCCTGAGTGCTCACTGGAAGGACAGATCCTGAAGCTGAGGCTGCAATCCTTTGGCCACCTCATGAGAAGAGAAGACTCCCTGGAAAAGACCCTGATGTTGGGAAAGATGGAGGGCACAAGGAGAAGGGGACGACAGAGGACGAGATGGTTGGATAGTGTTTTTGAAGCTACCAGCATGAGTTTGAATAAACTGCGGGAGGCAGTGGAAGACAGAAGTGCCTGGTGTGCTCTGGTCCATGGGGTCACGAAGAGTCGGACACAACTAAACAACTAAACAACAACAACAAACATATTCAACCAGCCATAGCTCAGTGACAGAGCATCTACTTTGCACTCAAGTCCTGGGTTCAGGTCCTGGCACCTAGGGAGAGGGGTGTTGGGAGGTTCCCTGTGTGACACACTGGAGAGGTCAGTGTAGAGTTGGCAATAGGGTGGGGCAGTGGTCTGCCTCAGAATGTGGGAGCTTCCTACGTAATATTTTATTTTTAAAATGAAGTAGATAAAAGCAACTGAGAGGTCTTTGCATGCAGTCCTGTCTTCACCCTCATATTTCCCCCATTTAAAATAAAATTAAAAAATCAGTTACCGGTATGTTTATTCACATACAGTGGTACCTCGGGTTACATACGCTTCAGGTTACAATACACTTCAGGTTACAGACTCCACTAACCCAGAAATAGTGCTTCAGGTTAAGAACTTTGCTTCAGGATAAGAACAGAAATTGTGCTCTGGCAGCGCGGCAGCAGCAGGAGGCCCCATTAGCTAAAGTTGTGCTTCAGGTTAAGAACAGTTTCAGGTTAAGAACGGACCTCCGGAACGAATTAAGTACTTAACCCGAGGTACCACTGTATTCAGACTGTATTAAGCTGAAGGAAAATGACGGCAGGCACTTCTGACAGCTTTTTTTTTTTACGGCATGCAACTGTTAAAAACAAGAACCATTCAACAAGGTAGAAAACATGGATAGCCAGCAATGCAGTTTGGAGAACCTGTTCCGTTTTGTCTGTCTGTTATCTTTAAAAATGGCATTTAACAAAGAATGCATCTTAACCCGCTACCAGTTTTATCCAACGACAACTATTTCAAAACTATGTATGGGGATACAGTGGTGCCTCGCAAGACGAAAAGAATCCGTTCCGTGATTCTCTTCGTCTAGCAGTTTTTTCGTCTTGCGAAGCAACCCTATTAGCGGCTAAGCGGATTAGCGCTATTAGTGGTTTAGCGGCTATTAAAGGATTAGCGGCTAAGCTGCTAAAAGGCTATTAGCGGCTTAGCGGTTTAGAAAAAGGGGGGGGAGTGGGGGAAAAATCGCAAGACTAGCAAGACATTTCGTCTTGCGAAGCAAGCCCATAGGGAAAATCGTCTTGCGAAGCAACTCAGAAACGGAAAACCCTTTCGTCTAGCGGGTTTTCCGTCTTGCGAGGCATTCGTCTTGCGGGGCACCACTGTATATGGATTTGGCAGGAGGCGCACATAAATCACAGTCTTCAAGCAGACCACAATTTAAAAAGAGTTTTTCAGTAGTTAGAACTGGTTGTGCAGACGTTACTGTTTTCCTTTGCATTTGGCAGAAAGTATGCGGGTGGCGCTGTGGGTTAAACCACAGAGCCTAGGACTTGCCGATCAGAAGGTCGGCGGTTCGAATCCCCGCGACGGGGTGAGCTCCCGTTGCTCGGTCCCTGCTCCTGCCAACCTAGCAGTTCGAAAGCACACCAGTGCAAGTAGATAAATAGGTATCGCTCCGGTGGGAAGGTAAACGGCGTTTCCGTGCGCTGCTCTGGTTCGCCAGAAGCGGCTTAGTCATGCTGG